AAAAAAAACCAAAAAAAAAAAAAAAAAAAAAAAAAAGACTAATTCCCCAAGATGAACTTCTAAGCAGACACTGAGACAAAAAACTCAAACATACCAAATTCTCTTTCCTTTTGAGAATGATAGTTATGGTCACCCATTTACATTAACTTACAATTAAAAAGCAATTACAAAGTAAACTTAATCTCACCCCATAGTCTTAAGATTTGAAAAATGGGAAATAACCCTGAACTGGGAATGGCAAGAATATGAGATTCCTCAATGCTAATGTTTTCCTCGATGCTGTGAAGTGCTTAGTCACTTCTGCCTATTTGCAGGGAAGACCATTTCATATCTTGAAAGAGTCAGAAATGTGGAGTCCAGACTCATGTCACCTGAGTTGTCCATGGGAGGCAAAAAAAGGCAGCAGCCAGTTAAGCATACCTACCAGAAGCCAGAGCTTTCTCTGTATTCTGCCTCTGTCTGCAGTAACAAAGAGGGTTTGTAAAGTTTTCTTCCCTGACACCAAATACAAAAGGTGAGAATTAAAAGAAGGTCCAAAAACATACCTGTTTCCTGACAGCCCACCATCTCTTCCACAAGAATAAAACAGCAAAGAAGTTAAAAGTCCAGGTAAGTAACAAAACCCAAAACTAGAGGCTAACAGGCTTTGGAGCACACTTCCAGAGAGCAGCTAGAGCTTTAAAATCTGATAACATTGTTTCCAGTTCCCCCACAGCAAGAACAAACAGAAAGGTTATTTCAAGAGAGACTAGTCTTAGGAAAGACCAAGTGAAGTACCTCCTGTGCCAAGAGCATATCCCAACATTCTACTTACAGGTAAAGATGCTAAGCACAAAGGCCGATTATAGAAATACACCTGAAAGAACTTTCCCAACTAGATACAATAAGATCTTGCCAAGGACCGAGGTCATTCTTTCCAAACATAACGCCAGGTTGAGGAAAAAAAAAAAAAATCTGAAACAATGTGGTCAAAACTCTGAAGCATACATAGCTCAGTCCGCTGAAAGGTCATGAAGGGCTCTAACAGCCATTATGGCTTATTTAGGACAAGGCCTTTTTTCCCTTCCAAAAATATAATATGAGCACTATTAAAAGAGAGTTTGTCCTGCATCTTCAAGTCTGAGGCAGGAAGATAGCTCAGGAGTTTCAGGCCAACAGGGTCAACAAAGTAAAACCCCATCATTGAAAGGGAGAGACATTTTAAAGGGAAAAGACTGATTTCCTTGACTTTGGCTTTCTCGAGCACAGACCGTTTTCCTTCCTAACACTCTCAAAACAATACTAAGCTATCTTTTTACATACGAATGTTGCCATCTTTATCGCGTAGCCCACGGCTAGCCCATCTTTCTCTATAATGAGGCATGGATCAAGCACTCCTCGTGCGTGCGTCAGAAAGTGAGGTCCTAAGGGACTAAGAAATGTGCCCGGACTTACCATTAAGCTACACTACCACTCTAAGAATGCTACCAAATCGTTACCGATCCCAGTTACTTTTTACAAGTCACAACACACGGTGCAAAGAGCGCT